AAATTTGTACAGTTGTCAGCAATACACATAGTACAGTTGTGCAATTTTCATTCTACCTGAGGTTACTAGTCAAGTTTGTGTTACATCTTTTACATGTTTACAATTACAAAACTTATAAATTTCATCTTAACTTAATCAAGTTTTTGTTGTGATAATTGGTACTGAGAAGTGGACTCACTGTAACTAATGTGACCACGTGGTTTGGAAGTCTTTGGAACTGGTTCATGGGAGAAGTTTGGAAATGCAAACTGGAAAAGGCAAAGCTTAGTAGGTGATTCTGGTAGGAGCTCAGAAGACCAGAATGCTGATAAGAATGAAGAAAGTAAACTCTGCTTATAATATTTCAGAGGGAAACAAGGATTCTACTGAGAATTGAACTACAGGCCATTTGTGTTACACTCTGACAGAGGACTTGTCTACATTTTGCCTATGTCCTGAGACTTCATGTGAGGCCAAATTTAAAGGCGATGGACTAAGTAATCTGACAGAGGAAATTTCCAGGCAGCACAGCATTCAGATGTTGGCATGAGTATTGCTCGTGGCTTTTAGCCAAGCTAACTGTGAAAATCAGAAAAATAAAAGAGAGTAGAAGGATCTTTAAAACTTGCAGTTTAACCAGAAAAATGCCCGTAAAATTGGGGCCAAGGAAAATATGGTTGCTGAAGACAATATCTCCACTAAATAGAAGCTATGTACTTTGCACAGGGACAATAGGAAGAACATCAAGGGCATCTTAGGGATCAGCAGGACCATACCCTATCAAGGATCAGGAATGTGTAAATAAAAATTCCTTTGAAAAGACACCATGGGCAAATCCTGGTCTCACAGGGTTGCCCAAGAAGATACTTCCCCCAGGATTTCTTTCAGCAGTTCAGCAACTCAGTCTCTCAGAGGCCACTGCAACAGTGATCTAAGGGGGCCCACTACTGCTCAAGCTGGTGGCAGACCCTGGTGTTATCCATGTGTGTTTGTTCTGCAGGAATTCAGGGTGCTGGAGTTAAGAGGTCTTGGAGGCTTCCACTAAAATTTCAAAGGAAAGTCTGTGAGATCATCACACAAATGTAGCAGGGTCCAAATCCCTTTGGGTAGCCCCTAGGAGAATAATGCATATAGTTATGAAGGTGAAGATGAAGCTGGAATGGAGACCACATGGATTAAAATATGCCAGTAACATGGAACAACCATCAAGGAAACCTGCTGGTTGTGGATAGAACCAGTCTAAAACAGAGACCACATGGACTGCAAGCAGCAAGGCCAAAATGGTGGGACTTCCCAAGCCCTTTGGATATCATATTCTGCCACCAAATGCCTCAGATGACAGACATGGAGTTACAGAAAATGTTTGTGTAGGTGAGTTTTAGTCTTGTTTGGGTCCCATCCCTCTTTTAGGCCCCTATTTTTCCCTTTTGGAATGAAAATATTTACACACACACACACACACACACACACACACACACATACACGTACACACATACACACATGCTAAGTTGCTTGGGAAGCACTGTCAAATAAAAAGAGATACTTAACCTTCTTTAAGTTATATTTATATGAATATATGCTACTAATATAAGTATTTAAGAACTTGCATAATGTTCATAGAAATTGACAACATCTTTATTGTCTATGATATATCCTGATACAAGGTTATTAGTTAGAATTGCAGTTAATATCTTCAAATGCTATACACCACAGAGATAACTAAATTTCCTTATTAATTGCATTATAATAGACTTCCATTAGATCCTTAATAGTTATTTTTAAGACTTTTGTCATTCATAAAAAGTTACTATTTCACTCTGATGATTTTTAGAAAGCTCTTGAAATCAGATACAGGCTAAAGTGCCATGTCTTCCCCAAAAGAGAAAGGAGTCCCATAGAAAGAATATGACAGGTACTCTGGGGTATAGCATTCTGATGACATTACCAAAATAATTTTAATATCATCACTGAGCTTAAAAACTGATGATATTCCATTAGAACTAATGGAGATGATGATAGGTTCATAAAACCATGAACCTAAGATCAAGCAGAACAAGAATTAATTACATGAGACTGGATGAACTGATAAAGAATGATTATGATTTCTTTTATGACTCTTTCTTGGAATGTGGCTGGTTCTTTAATGTTTTATTTTTTGAACTTAACCTTTTTTATTTTCTCTTAAGCTACCTGGAAATCAAAACAATTTTGCATATTATATTTCAGCAAACAAAACTGAAGCATTTATAGTTTCCCTTACCTGATCTCTCCAGAATTTGAAAACTTTTATTGAGTATTAATTCATGGCAATATAATTATTTTTGTAGGTTTAATAATAATCTCTTCTCTCTATAAACAAAGGATGTCTTCATCCATTTTGTTCTGCTATGACAGAAAACCCGAGACTGGGTAATTTACAAAGAATAGAAAGTTATTTCCTCATAGTTCTAGAGTCTGGGAAGCCCAAGATCAAGAGGCCAGATCTGGCAAGGGCCTTCTTGCTTCATCATCACATGGCAGAAGGCAGAAGGGCAAAGAGAAGGTGAAAGAGAGAGAGAGAAAGCAAGAGGGGTCAAATTTATTCCTATGATGACTACAATAATCCATTTAAGAAAGCAAGCAGTGCCTCTTTGACTCAAACACTTCTATTAAGTCTCACCCCCCATATTTGAGAATGATATGTATAGAATCAGATATAACCAGGAACTAAACTTGGGAAGTCAATTATTATAAAATCCTCTTGGAAAAACTACTAGAACCTGGATTATAGAGTTCCTAGCTATGACAATCAGCTTTCTGTCACTATGAAAAAAAAAATACCTAATCAACTTATAAGGGGGAAAAAATGTTTATTTTGGCTCACAGTTTCAGAGGTTCCAGTTCATGTTCACTGGGTCCTCTTGCCTTTGGGACTCTGGCAAGATATTAAATACATCATGGTGAGAGTACATAGCAAAGCAAAGCAAAGCTGCCCACCTCACGGTGGTCTGAAAGCAAAAGGGAGAGAGAGGAAGAGCCCAGGGTTAGGGTTATACACACCCCCAATGACCTGACTTCCCCTAAATAGGCCCCATCTCTTAAAGGTTCCACCACTTCCAATAGTACCATGGACTAGGGACCAAGCTTTTAACACAACGACCTTTGGGGAAGAGTTCAGATCAGAAGTGTAGCATCAGCAGTACAGATGAATAAGAAAGATTACTTCCTGGAAAATGTAGAAACCTTTAGACATTTAAGGGACTTTAAGAAGATGGAAATTTGACCATACTTCCAAAAGCACTATACAGATTTAATGCAATTCCAATCAAAATCCCAATGATATTCCTCATAGAAATAGAAAAGGCAATCATAAAATTCATCTGGAAAAATAAGAGACCCAGAATAGCTAAAGCAATCCTTAGCAGAAATAGTGAAGCAGGTAGCATCACAATACCAGACCTTAAACTATACTACAGAGCAATAGTATCAAAAACAGCATGGTATTGGCACCAAAACAGACTGGTAGGCCAATGGCACAGTGTTGAGGGCCACAGCCAGGTCGGGATGACTCATGGCATTTTGCCAGAAGGGAGTGGTTGAGAGATGACACCAGCGAGCCATTGAGATGATGATGGTTATGTTAAGCTGTGTATTCAATTGTGTATAGACCTTTGCTGTCAGCAATAGAGCGGCTTGGGCACCCACCTGCTATTTTGGAGTTCCCGTTGAGTTCTCCTGGGGTTCAGAGAGAGTGCGCGTGGAACGAGGGGGAGGCTGGGAGAGTTCCCGGGAAGTGTGCGTGGAGTGCTGGTGGAGTTCAGGTAATAAAGTTTCCTGTTTGAACATACAAGTGCTTTGTGGCGGCTCGGTTATTTGTGCCCAGCCAGACTGCAACATTTGGTGGCCTGTGCGGGGGAACGCCTGAAGCTTGGGGGTAAGTGAAATTGCTCGCCCCTGAAGGAGAGCGAAAGAATGGGTGACCATTTCAAAAAACAATGTGTTCTTGTTTTGATTTATTTTGTTTTTATTTCAAGTTGCCTGTCCTTAGAACTTTCTCTGGCAAACTGGGGAAAATGGTTGGCTCAAGGTTTGAAGTTGTTCGCCCCTGAAGAAGAGATAATGTTAGACCACAAATATACATTTCAAGAAAATAGGAAAATTGATACAATGCATTTTTGTTCCGTTTTTGTTTCATTCTGTTTCGGTTTTGTTTTATCTTGTTGGGTTGCGTTATCTTTATAGTAGATCAGAAATTAGTAAAAAACAAACCGAAAGAGTGTTAAGTAAATTGTTAGAGGTTCAGACTATGGTAGAAAACATGTTAGATCAAGTAAAAGAGAAGGTCTCTCGAGCTAGTCAGACAGAGGAAGAAAATTTAAAGGAAGAAGGACTATCAGGGAAAAAGTTACAACAGGAAACTTTATTGCCTGAATTCCACGGGCACTCCACGCACACTTCCCAGGAACTCTCCCAGCCTCCCCCACACACACACACAAACTCTCTCCAAACCCCGCGAGAACTCAACAGGAACTCTAAAATAGTGGGCACCCGAGGCCAGCAAGAGCCGCCCTATTGCCGGACAGCAAAGGTCTATATACGATTGAATACACAGCTTAACATAACCATCATCATCTCAATGGCTAGCCTGCATCACCTCTCAACCACTCCCTTCTGGCAAAATGCCATACATCATCCTGACCTGGCTGTGGCCCTCAACACTGTACCATTGGTCTACTAGTCTGCTTTGGTGCCAATACCATGCTGTTTTTGATACTATTGCTCATCAAAAAAGCTTTCTGATAAAAAGCTCAGCTTTTTTTTTTTTTTTTCCTTTTCTCCTTTTTTTTTTTTTTGCAAATTTGGGAGTTGCTGGAGTTCTTATTGGAATGTGGCCTATCGCTGCTGGTTGACAACTCTGAAATGGAATGTCTCCCAATGGCAGTGCCTCCCCCTCCACCCTCCCTGGGTCCACACCAACAACCAGCTACCAAAGCCCAAGTTCTCACTTCCAGGTTCCAGGTTCCGGAGGGTGGGAGGGACCTTCAGGCTGCTATCTTCGCCATCTGCTGTTCTAACTTGGAAATACGCTCATCTTGATTGCAGATTGTGTCTTTTACAGATTTGATCTCTTTTAAAATTTCATCCAACTTGGCTTCGTTTTGCACACTAGTCGTGTCTGTGGTTTTCTTGGGGACGTTGATCAGGTCACACTTCTTCTTTGCAGTGGGCTTGCTGTCCAGAATGTTCTTCTTGACCACTTTGAGATCCCTGTTTTTGCCTGGAATGTAGCCGTGCTTCAAGGAGATGAGGATTGGGTCAGCATTCTTCCCTTCAAACCACTCTTCTGCCTCCAGTGCAGCCTCGGGGCCTGCCGTGTCTCAGTACAGATTGTAAGGGTCCCGTGAAACGTCGGAGAAAGAGACCACCAAGTGACCACTCATGCAATTGGCAGAAGGGGGATTTATTGAACCAGCATGCTGGGGCTCCGTGCCCACTCAAGAAGGGAAAGCAGCCCAGAGCCCCGAGCAGGGGCTGAGCACTGCTTAAGTACACTTTTTGGGGAGGGCGGAGGGCTTTGTGTACAACAGAACAAATCATCATGAGGCGCGGGAAAATTGAACAACAACTCCTAAACATGATTAGTTCATTCATTGGCGGGAACAGGTCAGGCTGGAGTGATAGGTCATTCCTAAGGAGAGTACACATTCAAACTGATTGGTTCAGGCCCTGCAAGGCCTGCGTGCAACCACACAGACCCCTTCAGTTATTAAACAACCAGACAATCAGGGGAAATGTTTACTGGGCGGTTCTAAGCATTGTCTTAACAGCTACCGAAATTTCAGGTTTTGCAGGTAACATAGAAACCTAACAATACCTCCTTTACATTTTAACTCAGACCTTGCAGCTTAGAAACTTTTACAACACCCAGTCTTTTACCCTTTAACTTTTACGCTTTAACTTCAATTTCTTTTACCCTTACAAGATCATCTTGGAAAAGGTCAGACTTCCTGGGAACAGTCATGATAATGGGCTCACACTTTCTCTCATGCAGCTTGAAGAATCTGGCAATTTCACATTTGTTAACGTCAAGTCCTCTCTTGGGCATGTAACCCATGCCTCTCTGAGGCTCCTTGCCGCTGAATGTGTTGAAGTAGTGGACATATGGGGATTCATCCGTGATCTCAAAGTAGCGAATACTGCTGTTTCCCTTTCCACATAAGTAAATGATACTTGTGTCAGGATCAAGTGTTATGTGACTTGTTGAACTCTTAAAGACAAAAGTGCTACTTTTAAAATCCCAGATATTCTGAATTTTAGAAAACAAACCAATTCCAATTCAGTGTCATGCCCAAGTACTTTTTTTTAAATGAATAGGGACCAATGCCACATTGCTTTTTATATTTCTTTCTTTTTTTAATGTTACCAAAACCAAAAGTAGCTTTTTTTCTTTATATTTTGCTACTTTGCAGTATTTGTGTGTGATTTTTTTTTCCTTAATTTGAAAGGGACAGCACTGTGTATGTTTATAAACTAGATGAAGATATTATTTTGTATAAACATTCATCTGAGAACAATCAGAGCAGTAGCCACTGGCAGCACAAGCCTGGTCATCTTAATGACTGCGGAAGGAAGACTTGAAGAATCATGTGGACCTTCTCACTACCCTCTCATTCCGTTGAGTCTTCTGATCCAAAAAAGTGTACATCGTATCTCTTCCCTTCTTTCCTTTCTCTTTTCTAGAAATTGGGTGGTTGTACCAGAATGGAATTTTGCTTCTTGATTCTGTGCTTCAGATGATTATAATCTAACCAAACTAGCACGTGTCCCTGCAGTTTGTCACACATAGGCTCTGTCACATTCATCACTCCACACCTCACTGCTCAGGCTGCGGTCCGTACTTGACAGGGGCACTCGGACCAGAGCGTGCGCATGTTGTTGAGTGTCCCCTCTTGCCTGTCTCAGCAGCTTACCTGGCTCTTGCGACGTGCTGGGCAGGGAGCTTGGAGACGAGCAGCCCTGGTGGCCTGCCACTGTCCTGAGCAATGTTGGAGAAGGAGCAGCTCTCCTTACACCCACAGAGCTCCTGCCCTCCCTCCTCTGTCTGCTGCATGTCCCTCGGGGCCCAGCAGTCCTGCCCATCTTCCTGCCCTTAGCCCTAATCACATTCATCAAAATGAGTCCAGAAGATGCTGTTGAGTGTTGAGACTGAGGAGAATGGCCTAGAACGAGGCAGAAGAGGGAGTGCAGGCTGGGCCGTAGCTTTCACGTGCATGGACATGCCTCTTCGCCCCCGCACACAAACCAGTTCTCCAGCTCACAGCTGTGTTGGGCTGCAGAGCCTTCCTGGACCCGGAGTGAGTCAGAGACCAGTGCTAGTCACCTGTTCGTTCTTAGGCTAGCTGGAACTTTGCTGCACTTCCATGATCTCAATTGCATGTTTGCGAAACCAGACTTGACGAGCCTCTGTTCTGGAAGGGCTGAGTGTGCCTGAATGAGCAGTGGAGTGCACGGGGGACGTGGGGGGACCACCCTCTCGTGTGCGTGCACTGGGGTGGGTATGGGGCTGACTGGAAGCCGTGTGGCCAGGGAGCCAGGATGAGGCAGAGTATGGTGGCAGCCAGTTGGAAGGCCTGGCCCCACTTGATACTGTCCCAGCAGAAAAGGTACCATGTTCTTAACCAGCAGTATTGGGGTTGCTGTCTCCACAATTTCAGGGCATCTGAATGTTGAGTTTTGTGTGTACGTACGTGTGTTTTTAATATAGAAGTGGATAACCAGATGTAAAGAAAACAGTCATCACAAGGACATAAGTCAAACTTACATTGTTTTTGTTTTTTTTTTTTTTATCAATGTAATCTGCTAAAGGACCTTCATTTCTAAGATTCAGAAATGTTTTAAGGTTCTGATATCAAATTAAGTAAAGAATTTTTGTGGTTGGTGGAACCCTATAGGAAAGGTGATTCGAAGAGAAGAGGGAGGGCGAGGCACCTTCACCCTGACCTTAGTTTGTAGCTTCTGCTTATTTAATGAATGGATGCCCATCCAGGCCCAAGGAGTGCCTGAAGCATTGTGGATTATTTTCCCTGTTTTGTCGTCTTCTTCTTTTTTTAAAAAATGCTGTGACATCCCAGAGGAGGACAGTGAATTACTCCTAGATCGGCTCTTATAGAGCACCATAGTGTTCTGTCAAAACACTTGCTTCCATTTTCAAAGATAAAAGTCATTGATTACAAAAAAAAAAAAGAGAGAGAGAGAGAGAGAGACTAACCCACAAAATTACAATTATCTTATATTAGACAAAGGTGCCAAAAACATGTACTGGAGAAAAGATAGCCTCTTCAACAAATGGTGCTGGGAAAACTGGAAATTCATATGCAACAAAATGAAATTAAACCCCTGTCTCTCACCATGCACAAAACTCAACTCAGAATGGATCAAGGACTTAAGAATAAAACCAGAGACCCTGTGTCTAACAGAAGAAACAGTAGACTCTAATCTCCATCATGTGGGTTAGGCCCCAACTTCCTTAATAAGATTTCTTTGGCACAAGAATTAAAATCAAGAATCAGTAAATGGGATGGATCAAACTAAAAAGCTTCTTCTCAGCAAAAGAAACAATCTGTAAGGTGAATAGAGACCCTAAATCTTGGGAACAAATCTCTACCCCTCACACATCACAGATAGAGCACTAATCTCTAGAGTATATAAAGAGCTCAAAAAGTTAAACACCAAAAAAAAAAAACACAAATAACCCAATCAATAAATGGGCCAAGGACCTGAACAGACATTTCTCAGATGATGATATACAATTAATCAACAAATATATGAAAAAATGTTCATCATTGTTAGCAATTAGAGAAATGCAAATCAAAACCACTCTAAGGTTTCATCTCACTCCAGTCAGAATGGCAGCTATTATGAAGACAAACAACAATACGTATTGGCGAGGATGTGGGGGAAAAGGTACACTCATACACAGCTTGTGGGACTGCAAATTGGTGCAGCCAATATGAAAAGCAGTATGGAGATTTCTTGGGAAATTGGGAATGGAACCATCATTTGACCCAGCTATCCCTCTCCTCAGTCTATAACCAAAGTATTCAAAAACAGCATACTACAGAGAGACAGCCACATCAATGTTTATAGCAGCACAATTCACAGTAGCTAAACTGTAGAACCAACCTAGATAAAATGGTATATTACTTAGCAATAAAATCATGGCATTTGCAGGTAAATGGGTGGAGTTAGAGAAGATAATGTTAAGTGAAGTTAGCCAATCTCAAAAAACCAAATGCTAAATGTTTTCTTTGATTTAAGAAGGCTGATTCATAGTGGGATAGGGAGTGGGAGCATGCCAGGAATAGAGGAACTCTAGATAGGGCAGAGGAGTTGGAGGGGAAGGGAGGGGGCATGGCATTATTATGATAATGGAATGTGATGATCATTATTATCCAAAGTACAGGTATGAAGACACAAATTGGTGTGAATATACTATGTATACAACCAGAGATGTGAAAAATTGTGCTCTATATGTGTAATAAGAATTGTAATGCATTCTGCTGTCATATATAAATTCAAAAAAGAAGAAGTGCTGAGAGCCATAGCCAAGTAGGACACATGGCATTTTTGGGTTGAAATTGTTCAGAAAGGTGACCCTGCTGGATTAGGGTGGCTCCGGGTTTAGGGTAGATCCTACTGGATTAGGGTGGCTCCAGGTTTAGGGTGGATCCTGCTGGATTAGGGTGGCTCCAGGTTTAGGGTGGATCCTGCTGGATTAGGGTGGCTTCAGGTTTAGGGTGGATCCTGCTGGGAATAGGGTGTATCCTGCTGACTCAGGCACCCGCTCCTTGGGGTTCTGAGAGAATTGGTACGCAGAGCCCGGTGAAGGGAGTGTGTATTTTTTCCCAGAATGTGCGTGTAGAGGCCAGTGAGAGTTCGGGAATAAAGAATTGCTGTTGTGGTGGCCCAGTTATTTTGTGCCCAGCCAGACTGCGGCAAAGAAGATGGGAATTCACCCAAATTTTTAGTACTACAAGTGAAGTCTGATTATGAGGTCTTACCTTGGATTCCTAGCCTCAAAAGCCTTTTAAAATTTAATGCAAGATTCTTTATAAACTTTCCAGAAAGCAAACTTAAATAGGTCTAGGTGGCACAGTACTATTTTTTGTGTATTTATGTAAATGATCAGGTCATGAAACTAGACTTATTTTGTAAACAAGAGTCATCTAGCTTTAATTATCTTGAATTAAAATGGAGATTATTTACAGAGAAAAAAATGTTTCAATGGAAATCCACAGCTCACCTTATGGGTCATCAGATTCAGTCTCATTTAATGCCTGAGATACTTTCACTGCATTGTAAACTGGTTCCTGTTGCTTTAGCATATTTTCAGTAATTAACCTTTTAATTTGTCTCCCACTTTCCCTATCTGGCATCAGAGAGACTAACTCTTTTCCTGAACCCCTGCAAGCTGAAGTTGTGTAACTTGATAGAATTTCCAAGGATTTATCAGCAACATAGTATGGACCACTCAAAGTTTACCAGAATAGTATGTTTTCCATATTCTGCTCCAGGAACTCACTGTAATTTTGACACCACTACCACACTAGCATCCTCTTCTCCCTTCTAAGCAAACTTCATGCCCAATATCTAGAAACCTCTCCATTGACTACTCTCAACTCACAAACAGAACAAAGCAAACAGACCCTGGGCTATGGTCTTTTCCAAAAATTAATCCTTGCTTTTGTTTTGTTTTACAGAAATGTCCCTCGTTAAATTGTTACTGAAAGCTTGGTCCTTGTCACCATGCCAAGGCATGCTAATTTAATAAGGAGGACACAGTTTTGAGAAAAAGGAAAAGAAGGTTTATTGCTTTGCTATCAAAGGAGAAGCCCAGGGGACTCCTGTCCCAGAGGCCGTGGTTTTCCCCTCAGGAGGAATAGGAGGCTTTTAAATAAACTTTTCAAAAGTTGCATTCCAAGTAGGGGTTCCCAAGTGAGCATGCTGGTGTGTTAGAATTCAACTTGTTAATTCGGGAGAATGTGACTTCCTAGATCTTCTGGCTGACATCTGCTACCTATGGTGGGTGTTTGCTCTAAGACAGATACCTCAAGCTAATCTTGTTCCCTGCCCCAAGGTTAGGGAGTGGGAGAGGAAGAAAAGGAAAAGAAAAATAGGTCCCTTTTAAAATAAGCAATAAGGACTCTTCCAAAGGTGAAGTGGACCACTGTTACAAAATGACTGATTATATTCTACCGCAACCCATACCACCACTTCCTGGAATGAGACACAACTTTCTAACTGCACTGACTTATTTCCAGACTGGAGCACAGACTCAGTGGAATATGGGCAAGGAAGCAATCAACTGCTTATTTATGAAACTTCCTGCATAGTTTCAGATGGAGAAAAGGATGGGATCCAGAATATACTATTGTAATGATATAAAATTTTTTTCTGAGTTTCCCTTTTCTATCTAATAGCAGAAATTCCAAAAAGAATCCAACTATCATAAATTCCCTCTGGGGGACTTTTTTGGCTATGAAGAAAATGGAAAAAGACCACTTGCACCTACATAAATAAACATGATCCTAAACTTTCTTATCTCCCATTTGCTCCTCCAGGAATCCATTTATATTTCTTAAAGAAACCCACATGTTCTTCCCATAGAAACCCCTCCCCACTTCCTTTTCCCATTTTAAGTTACAT